AACTGGCAAGTACTGTGAAGGCAAAGTAGTGCTGAACCTTTTCTTAAAGCAAGGACAGAGCTGACCAGACTCACCACCTCTGAGTCCTCCCCGTGCCCCCAACTAGCGGTTCCCTTGGCTTGGATCAGCTCTACTCATTTGCAACCAAGATTTGCAGGATGCCTCACTACAGCCATATGGACCAAGACGAGGAGTCATCTGTCATCCAGAATTCCTTTCTTGACCTTTCCACATTCAGTCACCTTTAGCACACTTAACAGGCACGTCCTCCGCAGAGCATGTGCCTGTGTGACATAAGGAGTTTAAAGCTGAACACAGGAACTAGGCATTCCTTACACGCCACACTTTGCCAAATGGATTTATTCCAGAACTTTAAAGAAAAATTGCAACTGAAAAAGTGACCAGATGGGTTTTCAAGGAGAAAAATACAAACTAAGTCATTTTTGAGAGGCTGACGCACTTTACTAAAAACAGGCCTATGATGTCAAAGAACTTCAGTTATTCAACCCTGAGAGGAAAAATCATGGCAAAAAAAGCAAGCATTGAAAAGATACATAAAACATTCCATAACTGAAACAGACTCTTCAGCTCTACATGGCTAAATATTTTTAAAGCTATTTTTGAACTTAACACTTCAAATAGTCACCCCCTACTAAAAATTCAGGACCTACACAACAGTCACGGCAAATAATAATGACAAAATCTCATACTTATCTGGTACCTACTATATGACAAGCATTCTTCTAAGCACTTTACATATGTTCTCCACACCCTTACAAATTCTTTTCTAACTCATTTTTCATGAGCAATGAGATGTAGAGTAAGGTAACCGGCCAAGGTCACACACACTGTTCAAACCAGGCAGTCTGGCCGCAGGGCCCATGCTCTGAATTGTTACACTCACCCTCTTTCCAAAGGAGTTTAACATAGATGATCATTTTTTAACACAGACTTTTAAGTTCACTGAAACCATACGAGTTCATTTTATAAGATGAGAAGCCTTATAATAAGGAATTTAAACTAGAGAAATTACTGTTAGGTGGTGGCAAAGCCAAAGTTTATTAGTTATGGCAAATATCCACACAAAAAGTATTGGGGGTGTTATGGTTTGAATGTCCTCTCCAAAACTCATGTTGAAATTTAACTGCCAATGTAACAGTATTGGGAGTGGGGCCTTTAAGAGGTCATTAGATCATCAGGGCTCCACCCTCATAAATGGATTAATGACATTATGTGGGGAGTGGATTAGTAATTGCAGGAGTGGGCTCCCAATAAAAGAATAAATTTGACCCTCATTCCCCGTCTCACATGTGCACACATATGCTTTCTCACCACATGATGCCTTATACCATGTTATGATGCAGCAAGAAGGCCCTCACCAGATGCTGGTGCCATGGTCTTGGACTTCTCAGCCTCCAGAACTGTGAGGAATAAATTTCTTTTCTATATAAATTATTCAGTTTGAGGTATTCTGTTATAGCAGCATAAAACAGACTAAGACAGCAGCCAGGCATGGTGGCTCATGCCCAGAATAGTCGCACTTTGGGAGGCCAAGGCAGAGAGGATCCCTTGAAACCAGGAGTTCAAGACCAGCCTGAGCAACATAGCAAGACCCCATCTCTACAAAAAATAGAAAAATTAGCTGGGCATGATGATGTGTGCCTGTAGTCCCAGCTACTCAGGAGACTGAGGTAGGAGGACATCTTGAGCCCAGGTGTTTGAGGCTGCAGTGAGTTACGATGATGCTACTACACTCTACTCCAGACAACAGAGTAGGGGGAAAAAACACAAAAACCAACAACCAAAAACACCGACTGAGACAGCAAATTGGTACCGAGACGTGAAGCTGTTGCTGTAACTAATACCTGAAAACGTGGAAGTGGTTTTAGCACTGGGTAATGAGTACAAGCTGGAAGAATTTGGAGGAGGCGGCTATAAAAAGCCTAGACTGTCGTCAGTGGTGCGCATTAAGAGCAACTCTGGTAAAGCTCAGGTAGGAAAAGTATGAATCTTTTTAGAGATTACTTTAGTGTTCATGACCAGAATGTTGGTAGCAATATGGACAGTAAAGGCCACTCTGGTAAGGTCTCAGATGGAAATGAGGAACAAGCTATTGGAAACTAGAATAAAAGCCATCATTGTTGTACAGTTACAAAGACCTTGGTGGAATTATGTCCCTGTCCTAGAGCTTTATGGAATGCAGAACTTGAGAGATGAACTAGGATATCTGGTAGAAGAAATATCTAAGCAGCAAAAATTCAGGCAAGGGCAACATACATAACCTAAACATCTATACCCCCATAATATACTGGAAAAAAAAAAAATTCAGGTTGCTGTCTTGGTTACTCTTAACCACATACAGTAAGATACAAGAGCACAGATGACTTAAAGACAGAATTTATAATTAAAAGAGATGCATATCAGAAAAGTTTGGAAAACTTGCAGCACAGCCATGTAAAAAATGAAAACGCATGTAAGGGAAAGAATACTAAGAGCCAATCAACCCTTTGCTAAAGAGATAGCAAAGAAGCCAGAAAGCAGCCAGGTGCTATTAATCAGGACAACAGGAGAAACACTCTACAGGCATTCACAGATCTTTGAGGCTATCCCTCTCATCACAGACCCAGAGCTCTAGGAGGGCAGAATGATTTCAGGGAGACAGACCTAGGGCCACCTTGGGACTCTGCCCCAGCAATGTGCACTCCTTGGCCACCCCAGCCTTGGCTTAAGTGGCCCCAGCTGCAATTCAACCTACCACTCCAAAAGATAAAAGCTGTTAGCCTTGGTGGCATCCATGTGTTATTAAGTCTGCAGGCTCATAGAATGCAAGAGCTGTGGGGATATAGCTTCTTCTACCCAGATTTCAAAGGATGTCACAGATCACATGGGGGCCCAGGCAGACACTTGTTGCAGGGGTGGAGCCACCACCGAGAGCCCCCATTAGGGCAATGCACAGCAGAACTGTGGAGTCAGGGCTGCTACAGAAATCCCCACTAGGGCCATGCTTAGTGGAACCATGAGTGTAGAGCTGCTGCCAAGATCCCAGAACTGTAGCACTACAAGCATGCAACTCCAACGCATGAGAGGTGCTGAGCAGACTGAGCGCAGCATAGCCATGGGGTGGGGCTGCCAGAGGATGAATCATGTCTTGAATACTCACCACATCTAACTCAGATGAGACTTTGGACTTTTGAGTTGATGCTGGACTAAGACTTTTGGGGCTATTGAGATAGAGTGAATATATTTTGTATTCATGACTTTTGGGGAACCAGAAATGGAATGCCATGGTTTAAATGCCTCCCCACCCAAAACTCATGCTGAAATTTAATTGCCAACGTAATGGTATTGGGCGTCACGCCTTTAAGAGGTTATTAGGTCTTAAGGGCTCTGCCCTCATGAATGAATTAATGCCCTTATCACAGGAGTGGGTTAGTTATCACCAGAGTGGGCTCCTGATAAAAGAAGCCCACGTTTACCCACTTTCACTTGCACGTATGCACTTCTCCGTGTGACTCCTCATGTGATGTGGCAAGAAGGCCCTCACCAGACACTGGGGCACCATGCTCTTGGACCTCCCAGCCTCCAAAACCGTGAGAAATAAATTTCTTTTCTTCATAAATTACCCAGTCTGAGGTACTCTGTAATAGCAGCAGAAAAGAGACTAAGAGAGGGGGATAACTTTTGTGAGTTAAACATAGCGTCTGGGGAAATTAGCATGCCTGGGGAAGTGTAGGGAGGGTGATGAAAGCCAAGAAACTCAGTAAGTCTGGAAGGCAATGAAAGAAAACCCCAGGGTTGTAGTACCTAACATCAGTCACAGTGCCCATCACTCATGAATGGTGCCTCTTTTCCACCCCACTGCTTGTGCTCAAATTCAGGCCTTTGACATCCCTTAGTCCAGTTATTCTAATGATCCTTTACTTGGTTTATAGGCACCACCCTCCTCCCTGATCCAGCACCTAATCTCTCCTGTGCTGCTAACAGAAGAGCTTTTCTGAAAGATAAATCTGATCACGGTATGCCCCTACTTAACTCTTCAGTGATCCCTATAGCCTATAATTTCCAGTTCTATCATCTTTGTACAAAATCAGAGGCTATCCACCCCAGCATTTTCCCTGCCAACCTCTGCTCACAAGCTCAGAAAAATACTAGGCTAAGTCATTTCACTCTTACCCTGTTCAAGTAGCCCCTCTGCTGAAAAAAGTCTACCTTCCCAACCCCCATACACCACCCCTCAACATCTATCTGTTCTTCACTCTGCATAAAGTTGTTCCAACCCCTCCTCCCACCAATAGAATAGATAATTTTCTCCTTTATGTCCTCAGGGTACCACATATATATGATTCTTACATAGTGTCAGTAACTAATTTTTTGCACTTCTTTACACAACTGTCTCCCCTACTAGGATATAAGCCCCTTAGGAACAGACAGTATCTTCCTATTTGCCAATAATGATGAAATAAACATCCTTGCATCTTTAGGTAGAAACCCAGGATGGACCAGCTGGATCGAAAAGTATATATATTGCTAAACTTTTCTCCAAAGATTACCCATTTTATATTCTTAACAATACTTGTTTCGTACATACTCAAAGGATTTTCAGATGTTCCATCCCTGTTAATCTGACAGGTGAAATATAATGACTCATAGTTTTACTTTGTATGGCATATGGTGAATGAAAGAACCTCTGATTGAAGATGAGTTACACTTAAGATGACTTATTTATGGAAACAAAAGGCACCATCAAAACTGAAACAATAAGGGGAATTCAGTGAAGGTTTGCTTCAAATCAGCAGTTCTCATTATGGTAGCCTGGAGACAGAAGAATTAAGAGGCTGTGCCACAGTGGGTTTCTATCATGTTGCCACATTAGAATATCAAATAAGTGACAGAAGTTTAGAAAGGGGTGCATTTTCCAATTGGCAAGAAATTAAGGGAGGGTGCAAGGTGACCTAGCCGACTATTTCTAGAAATCCAGTGTACCAAAAGTTCCAACTCACCGTCTAGTAGCCAGGGCTGGCTGCGCCTATTCTCCAACTCCGACATCATGAGGCGTGTGATCACATGATCTGGAACCAAAAGACCTTTCTCTATGTACTGCTTTGCCATGTCACCAACTTCTGTTAAAAAAACAAGAAAAAGACAAACACTCAAGAAAGCTTCCAAAAAAAAAATTACAAACTGTTCTGACAGTTTTACCTTCTCTCTCATCCTTCCTAGCATCAGGCAAAACTGTAGGTAGCTGTAGATAGATATTTTTAGTTTTTAATAGACTGGCTTCAATAAGGGTAGCACTATTGCTTATCTAACCCATTTGTCTTCCAAAGACTTATAAAAGCAGCTCTTGACGAAGGAAGGAAGGAAGGAAGGGAGGGAGGGAGGGAAGGAGGGAAGGAAGGAAGGGAGAGAGGGAGGGAGGGAGGGAAGGAAAATACATAAACTGGGCAAGAGAAAATAAGAGTAGAAGATACAGTTGGAGCCAAGAGGGAGGACAGTACACAGAAGGTTGAGAAAGGGGTCCTGCATATTTCCAAGAGGTGAGCCACAAATTCCGCACTGGACTTCTCAACAGTTTATGGTAACAAGGAAACGTGATCAACCACATGGTGTATAGAAACTTAAAAAAAGCTCCACTGATCTTCAAAAAAGAACACTGCATAATACAAACAGCAAGTTTCTTTCTTTTCATGAGCCTCAATATGAGCAGATGGCACCTTGCTGACTTAGCTGTAAAAGCAACTCGGTATTATTAGTACAATACCAAATTCATAAAAGAATGAATTTTTAAAAAATAATTTCAGAGTAAAACCACCTCTATCTTAATTTGAAGTAACAATTTCTCATATGTAGAATTTTTGGGGGGCAGGGGAGACAGGGTCTGGCTCTGTCGCCCAGGGCTAGAGTGCCGTGGCGTCATCCTAGCTCACAACAACCTCAAACTCCTGGGCTCAAGCAACCCTCCTGCCTCAGCCTCCCGAGTACCTGGGACTACAGGCTTGCACCACAATGCCTGGCAAAGTTTTCTAATTTTTGTAGAGATGGGGTCTTGCTCTTGCTCAGGCTGGTTGAACTCCAGCAATCCTCCTGCCTCAGCCTCCCAGAGTGCTAGGATTGCAGGTGTGAGCCACTGCTCCCAGCCTCATGTGTAGAAATTTGAGTTGGGTTCAGCAGAACAAATTATCAGTTTAAGTCTACACATTTTTAGGAACTGAATTTGAAAAAAAAAAAAAACACAAATGAAGTCCTCTGCTCTCCAGGGAACTGATAATGAACTATTAAGAGCCACATTCTTGACAGGCCACTTAAGTTCTTATAAAAACACAAATCAGAATTATATTACTAGAAAAAAAGCTCAAGATCACTTGACTCCATCTTCACCTTGAATTTAGGTAGAGCCTTTACTTCCTCAGACTGAGTTTATACCCCTAACCCCAATTTAAGCCCTGAAATACGGGCTGTGAAGGGCTCCACATCACTTGATTACTACCACTGGACAAGTAGCTCAAAACACAGGTCCCAATTGATGTAGACACAGTAACATACTGCAAGAAGCACAACACAAAAGACCATTCATTCGACAAGTATTTACTGACTGCATACTACGTAACACGTAATATTCTAGAGACGCAGCAGGGAATAAATAAAAGTTCCAGCTTACTAATATTTAAGCAGTATTACTTTCATTAAGAGCAACAATAACAACTATTAAGCTGAGTTCCTACTAAATCCCAGGCACTAAGCTTTAAGTACTTTATATGCATTATTTCATTTCATCTTCATAAGACCCTTACCTTCAGACACAAGGTAATACCAGTATTTGTTTATGACAGCTTAACTGAGATAATTCACATACCATAACATTTGCTGTTTTAAAAAGTACAGCTCAGTGGCTTTTAGCATATTCTCAATGTTGCGAAACCATCACCACTCCCCGATTTCAGAACACTTTCATCACCCCAGAAAAAAACCTGTACCCATTAGCACTCACTCCCCGTTCTCCCCTTCCTCCATCCTGAGGCAACTACTCATCTACTTTCTGTTTCTATAGATTTGCCTGTTCTGGACATTGCTTATAAATGGGATCATACAATATGTGGTCTTTTGTGTCTGGTTTCTTTCACTTAACATAATGTTTTCAAGGTTCATTCATGTTGAATGAACCACATATCAATTCCTCATTCCTTTCTGTGGCTGAATAATATTCCACTGTCTGGCTATACCACATTTTGTGCATACATACATTAGTTAGTGGACATCTGGGTTGTTTCTACTTTTCTGCCATTATGAACAACACTGCAGTGAACACTCATGTACAAGTGTTTGCATGAACATATGCTTTCAGTACTCTTGGGTAATGAGAACTGTAGAGCAAATGCTCTATGTCTAAAAAATCAGTATCAGAAAGGAGGACGGAGTAACAGACAAGCTGGGTGCTGTCCTACTCTGCAATGGTTAGGCCAGGCCCAGAGCCCTGTTCTTAGTCTCACCTACCAAACTTTAAGGTGGATATAAACAACAAATACACATCTTCCAAGGTGAGAAACCAAGATATGTACCTTGCATTGTTTACTAGAACTCCATATCTTAATATTACACACTGATATATTTATTCATTTTCTGCCCCCCCAACTAGAATATTATTTCAATGAGAAAAAAATGAAACTATTTTATTCAATGCCATATCCTCAGTGGTTAGAATATAGTCTGGCATGTGTTAGATGCCTGAGAAAAATGTGTTGCCAGAATAAACACCCTAAAAATGATAAACAATTTCTTTCTCTCTTTCTCTCTCTCTTTCTTTCTTTCCCCTCCCTCCCTTCCTCCCTTCCTTCCTTCCTGATGGGGTCTTGTTTTGTGCCCAGGCTGGAGGCAGTAGTGTGATCACGCTCAAACTCTTAACTCAAGTGATCCTCCCACCTCAGCTCCCCAAGTAGCTGGGACTACAGGCACATGGCACCACACCCAGCTCATTTTTTTCAATTTCTTTTTTTTAGTGATGGAGTCTTAATGTGTTGTCGAGGCTAGTCTCCAACTCCTGGCCTCAAGTAATCCTCCAGCCTCAGCCTCCCGAGTAGCTGGGATTACAGATGTGAGCCACGACACTTGTCAAGAATTTTCATTTACCCTGGCAAAAATCAAGATGATCTTCCTGGAGAGTTATTACAAAACCATTATTGCAAAACTAAATATGGCCCAACCTCGCCAGAGAACAACTTTTTCAAAGGAAGTATGAGACAAACAAAGTATGATCAGGACTAGTTGAGATGGCCATGTTAGGTTTCACAGCCCAGTCTTATTTCTTCAGCATTTCAAACCATGAATGCAGATGAACCAGTTTGAGTAGGGGAAATAACAAGGAGATACCAAGAGCAAATGTGGCAGGGCAAGGGGCCACTTGGTGTACCTCAAACAACTTCAAGCAGTGACAGCTGAAGAAAAGCTCACCATTGAGAGATGGTGCTAGACAGTCAAGATAAGGAGAACGGACTTTGAAGGATTTTTTTTTTAATAGATAGATTTAGAAACTCCACTCCCAGAGCCAAGACCAGCTACTTAAATTGAGCCAAGACTAGTGCAAATTGAAAATGTGGAGTTCCTTGTTGGAAAATTAAGAATTGCAATATGACAACAGCAGAGCACTGAAATAAGTGCAGGGCCTATGTGACTGCACAGGTCACCTGCCCACAGCGATGTGACATTTGGCTGTGGGTAGCACGGTAGCAGCAAAGGAGGCTGTGACAATAATCCAAGTACAAGATGAAAGCCTGAATGAACCAAAGCAGAAGCAATGGAGGGAGACCTTCATGTGCCCCTTGAGAGAGTGCCTTGAGTTAATCCAACACAGGCTGCGCAACCCGAAGTTTAAAATAACTCCGTGGAAGACTTCCAGAGCCATCTTATTCCAATTTACTAATTAAGAGAAACCTCTAAGTGCAGCATACTTTTCCAGCTATTTTTGGCAGCCTTGGCTCCTCTCTGGAGCAGGACAGGCAACATGTCCTCTAACCTGATACAAGATCAAACTTCCACCGCATCTCTCAACTCCACCACAAAAACCCAGAAAGACCCACAGCAAAAACAAAACGAACTTAATGTATCTGCATCTGAATAAAGACCTCATCACAATAGCAAACTGAAATAAAACATCTTATCAGAAGACAGAGGCCCATTCCAGAAAAGTGGACCTTCATCTGCCCTTGTCAGTTAGCTTGGAAGAGAAAGCAGTATCACTAAATGCTGATGCTAGCATGTTTGGATAAAATATATACCTACCCTAATTTCTCAGGTAATATTCCAAAGAAATGGACACGCATACATTGTCTTACACAGCTTTTGCACCCTTAGCATGGCAAAAATAGACTAACGGCTCTGCATTCTTTTTTAAGCTTTACAACAAAACCAAGAAATAATTCTATCATGTATTCATGAGATTAAACCAGAGACCGATGATTAAGGCCGCATATAGGAAAACTTTCTTCAGAAAGGGAAAGATTAAGGGTCAAATTACAAAACAGTATATATTCCAAAATTTTATATATATATATATATATATATATATATATATATGCAGACAGATATGTGGAATCATCACCATGTTAAATGGATGAAAAGACAATCAACGTTCCTCTCATTTTACAACAATATAAATTTGTAGCAACATATCTTAACAGCCTATGCCAGTCAATCACTCCTAAATATAAATTCAAATGGATATAATCTTGGTAACCTTGAGAAATATACGTTTTCAATTTTTTTTTTTTTTTTTGAGACAGAGTCTCACTGTGTTGCCCAGGCTAGAGTGCCGTGGCATCATCCCAGCTCACAGAAACCTCAAACTCCTGGGCTCAAGCGATCCTCCTGCCTCAGCCTCCTGAGTAGCTGGGACTACAGGCATGCGCCACCATGCCCGGCTAATCTTTTCTATATATTTTTAGTTGTCTAATTAATTTCTTTCTAATGTTAGTAGAGACGGGGTCTCGCTCTTGCTCAGGCTGGTTTCGAACTCCTGAGCTCAAACAATCCGCCCACCTTGGCCTCCCAGAGAGCCAGGATTACAGGCGTGAGCCACCGCGTCCGGCCCCATTTTCAATTTCTAACGAGATCAGATAATATACAAATT